ACGAATTTTAATCTTGGCATTGAAATATGATTTATGAAAAATATGATTCAAGGAATAAATTTTAGTAGCGTGATATTGAACAGTGTTTGCATTCTTGATTGGTTGTTATGGATAACGTCACACGGTAACGTAGGGCTGGGTGTTGTTAATAACGGCATATATATATATATATATATATATATTAATGAACAAAAAATCTGGGCCTGTGTAGTTGGTGGGTAACAATATACGTGTATTTAATGCACGGGAACTTCGAACTGGGTGGTTTGTGGGTAACCGTGCGCTTATATTAACGCATTTTTCAGTGAAAAGCGTTTAAAATATTTGGACAAGATTCACGCCATGTTATTTAATTCCTGTGGTGTATACTGGAGTATAAAAGACAAAAAATACGTTGATATCTTTACAAACAGCAACATGAGAGAAGCACAGTTTCATATTGTTTTTTTAAACTAATCATGACCAAGTACCTCGTGGCATGAATCCACTATTCTTTGTAAACATCCTTACCAAAGCCCACTAAATACATCCTAATTATTCCAGTCCCATTGACCGTTCACCTGCGGTTGACATCCATCATATGATGCAAGCATTTTGAATGGCCCGCTGCAAACATTCGCGACTTTTTGAGCATGGTGTGGTAGGCAGATTTACACAAGCCGCAAACGAAGGGTTAATGTTATAGGAATATTGTTTACTATACATAAATTATTATTTTTAACAATTAGTTTTACTACTTGTAATGTCACAATAGAGTCGATTAGAATTAATTATATAAACCAATTTAAGGTTTACACTTGTCGGTTGTGGATTTATGGAACGCTCCTGATGAAGCTGTAGCAAAACGATGAGTGTCCAATTCTATGTTGTAAGAGTATGACTCAAGATTGGCGGCCGCCTGTGTCGTACAAGTTTTAGATCATTGCCGCAAAGAAAGTTTGTATATTTTGTTGATATTTGATTTCAACCGAGTCGTGCAGCATCCCATGTAAGCCTTTCGATACTAAACACATGGAACCAAGTTAGTAAACGTAGACTCTTGACCCGATCAGTATTCACTTCGGATCAAAGCATAGACTATTAATATATCCAGTAACGAGCAAATATAATTAAATGTACTTTTCAATGATTAGAATGCATTTCGTCAGTTGGATACCCTCACTGTTAACTATATGTTTGGCCACCTTAGGAGACTTAGTTTAGTCTTAAATTCATATACCAAGGATAATGATAATCCAAACATATAGAATTAATTAATATTGGAGAATAATTATTCTACATTCGATTAATTATATTTTTATCATCATTATCCTTGGTATATGAATTTAAGACTAAACTAAGTCTCCTAAGGTGGCCAAACATGTAGAATTAATTAATATTGGAGAATAATTATTCTACATTCGATTAATTATATTTTTTGAATTTGTCAATTCGCGAACGCCTTCCACAATTTTGGGGCTAACGGGTCCAAACTTGGTAAGGACTAGGGGTGGCCCTGTTAGCTTTATTTATTTGGGGATACTAAGGGGGTGCTGAAACGCGATCGAAATATTATCCAGGTATGATTAGAGGGGGGGGGGGCTAAGAATAGGTTATTTTATGTTCTTGTTAACTCGAGAATGCTATTTTGAAACTGTATGCCGATACCCACTCACAAATTACCTAAACGAAAATTACGTTTGATGCTGAACGTAACATGGGTACCTTTCCTTCGGACGAGCCCCCCAGTGGCACAGCGGTATGTCTGCGGACTTACAACGCTAGAATCCGGGTTTCGATACCCGTGGTGGGCAGAGCACAGATAGCCCATCGTGTAGCTTTGTGCTTAACTTCAAACAAACAAACCTTCTGACGAGGACGAACGGATCGTATGCCACATTTTAAAATGCAAAAATGGGGGTGACTCACACTCGTATCGATTGTATTACTTTTAGAGACCGGCACTGTTTGGTACATTTGCCAGTATTACAGAAACCGGTAATTGGTTGATTGGCGATTAACGATATATCGTTTGTAGTGATTGAAGTTGTCATGAATTTCATCTTCCATAACTCGTTTTGTCAGATATATTCACGAAATTTTTTCTAGATTTTCGTGCAGGTATTCTGCGTTTGATATAACATTCTTCTGAACCAAACGCAGTGCTTGAGATAGCTAGCATATCCGTGTAGTGCTTGAGATAGCTAGCATATTTTATATTACATTTATCAGTTACGAATGTACTATCACCGATATGCTACAATATTAATTGTCGTGTCTACTGGTTATACAGTGTGAAAATTCCTCTTAAATCGTACTTAATAAGAAAACAAACCACAACTAGTTAGTGTAACGATACATCGAACTATCGACAAATTGTGATTACGAACATACCAACAGCAATGCATCGATGGTAAATTGTATAATTGATAACAATTGATGTTTCTATAGTTTACAAACTTTATTATTTTTGTTTTATTGAAGCCGTTTCTCGGTAACTTCCCTTTGTTTTAAACTGAATTTATGGGCTCTATTCATCTGTAAGCCTAAAAGCACACGTATCACTTCCGCCATTAGTAGTGTTGCTCGCCAAATGGACCGAGCCAGTATTGGAGAATTAAAGATGGCTATAATTCCTAATTTACTACGTGTATCTTCACGAACATTGGCAGTCTTTTAGTAAACTTGCAAATAATGTTGTATACAAAAAAAAATACAGTTTTTTTTTTAAAGAAAGAATTTATGTGAAATGTTAATTTCATGATGGGAACACCTCATTTTCACTTTAAAGTTTTCATATTTTATGTATGTAATCTGTAGAACTTCCTTAATGAACAACAAAAGTTTTGTTCGGTAACAGTATATATTTTATCTGTAGCATTTCTTTACACAATTGAGCTTTCTATTTTTTGATGAAGATCTGGCAGATGGAGGTTATTACTGGTCTTTCAGATTTTTATGAAACTTGCCAACATTTCAAATGATGCTGGAAAAACACTGGGACAGGAGTTATGCCATTGCTCAACAAAACTGATTTGGTACAAAATGGATCGTCTCGGTTCAAAGGCACATATAAAAACCCCAAAATTGAACTTTTATGTAAAAGGAGAATATTAGACTGCATGGTGGTCAATCTCTTAACATGTCAAAATTGTGTCAAATAGCTTAATGTTTTAGTGTAACAAGCGTTGATTGTGAAAGCCTTTCCCCCTATAGAACAGGCACAAGACAAAATTCAGATGCACTATAAAGGCCGAAAAGATAAACTCTTTAGTTAGAATTGTAATGTTAAGCCCAAATATTTCACTGTGTATCTATAATGTGAGACAGTGCTAAGATCAAAAGAAGGACGAGACTTTCGCAACCGTACAAACGGAGAAGTAAGAAAAATAAGTGTTAATTGTGTGTATGTGTTTTTGTAGCACATTTTGGAGACCAAATACACAGTAAGGTAATACTGACACATTTAAACTCTTATAAATGATTCAATCACCACATACACCAGCATGCTGACTCTTGTCCATGATACTGAATTACTCGCCACCTTTTGGCAAATACTGATAAATATTTCTAGCACTGCGAACGCTGAAACTTGGAGAGGTCGTAATCATGTGCTTTTTACTCTGGTAAAATTGCATACGTCAACGGCTAAAAATTCGTATTACTTTGAACCGATTGGGGGGAGGGGGCGATTGCCTATCAAGGGTGGTTCAGGAAACTGTAAAATCTACGTGAATTAGGGATTTTCTTCCTCTTTTAAACGTTGTGTGGAATAGTAGGTGACGTTTCCGGCGTTGAACTTAGTAACTGGGTAACTTAGTAACTAGTTGGTTTTTAATGATGAGTAATCTTCCTGAACTTAGTAACTGGGTAGCTAGGCTAGTGCCTAGTTGGTGTTTAATGATGACTAATCTTCCTGAACTTAGTAACTGGGTGGCTAGGCTAGCGCTTAGTTGGTGTTTAATTATGACTGATCTTCCTGAACTTAGTAACTGGGTGGCTAGGCTAGTGCCTAGTTGGTGTTTAATGATGAGTAATCTTCCTGAACTTAGTAACTGGGTAGCTAGGCTAGTGCCTAGTTGGTGTTTAATGATGACTAATATTTAGTTGAGTAAGTTTATATGCAAGCTGTCTGTTATTTTTGGTTTCTTATCAAAAGCATATTATTGAAGCGAAGCTACCCGTTTAGATGAGAACTAAACAATCTCTCAGTAACCCAGTAAACAGTATAGTTATTTTGCTACATATCGTTTAGTAGTAAGGAACTATTAAGGCTTTAGCTGATATATAGGCCTTTAATTTATTATAAGCTACAGATTGTCTTTATCAGTATAAGTAGTATATATTTAAATGTTAATGAAAGCCACGTGTTTAATATGTGCTGCAAGTTATGTTTTAACTGAATTAAAAATGCATACATATGATTCATTTCTTTAATTTTTCTGTTCTCCCAATTTTACTTAATCACTTAACGTGAATATTGTTTTCTTTTTAGTTCCTGTTATTCAGAAAATTAGTACAGTTTTACTGGCGAAGCTTTTTTCAAGTTGTTGACTATTGTAATTTTAAAAACTCCATTTAATTAAGTAATTATATTCTATTTTACTCGCATTGTAGAATTTCCTCATTCATCTAAGTTCTTGAAATAAGAGATGAGATTGTACTTGGAGTTTGAAAAAGAATGGCACGACGGCTGTTTTGGACCTTTTCGCATTTTCAGGATTTTTTCTTTTCTCAAAAAGTATAATTCACCAAATATCCATAACCATGGACGGAAAGAAGAGAAATTTATTTTTCTGGGCATTCCTTGTTATTTTAAATTGTTGTTTAAAATTTCAAACCTAAAATCCTACCATGAACGAATGGAAAGATATTAAACGTAGGAAGGCGCCAAATGAAGTTTTGGTTGGAGTTGGTAGTTATTTTCATTTAAAAAAAATGTTGTTGAGCTTCGGTTATGCGCCATTAACTATGAAATAATTAAAATATTGTAGAAAAATTTGTTCTTATCTTTCTTGCAGGTTAGTCCGGGCAGCATGAGATTCAGGCCGAGATGTGATCAACGAGCTAACTGCGGTGTGCTTTTTTTCGTCTTCCTGGTGCCAAGTACAGTTGTCAACTTCTTATGGTACGCTAGCAGTAATGTTAGTCCTAACGCTAGAAAGCCTCTTCCTAGCGCCATCTTGTGGCAGACATCGGTAGATGCCTATAACATGAGTCTACTTAATGAAGTCACAGACTTCACAACGCTTGTAGATAAGACAGACTTTCGCTTTCTAATAAACAACCGGCGTTGTGATGATGCTCAGGACATTTTCTTAGTCATATTTATTCACAGTGCGCCAGACCATTTTCAAAAACGAAGAGCAATACGAAAAACATGGGGTCAAGAACGCCATCTCGTAGACGATCCTTTGCGCATAGTATTTATGGTTGGTGAAGTTCAAGGTAGAGATGACGTTCAAAAGGCCTTGGAAAGAGAGAACTACATCCATCGGGACATGGTGCAGGGTAATTTTCTTGACACTTACAAGAATCTCACTTACAAACATGTTATGGGACTCAAGTGGGTGACATATTTCTGCCGCCAGGCTAAATATATTTTTAAAACTGACGACGACATATTTGTTGACATTTTTCAATTAGTGACATACTTGAAGGGTTCATCGGGTTTGGCGCCCCCTCGCGGTCTTATCATGTGTTTTCTTATCAGAAATCCTTACGTAAAGCGTAGTCAACGTAGCAAATGGAGAGTGAGTTTCAAAGAATACCCTGGGAAATATTATCCCCCGTACTGTGCAGGTTGGGGTATTATAATGTCTCCCGATGTTGTTTTCAACCTTTACCTCCAATCTACCCAAGTCCCATACTTTTGGGTAGATGATGTTCACGTCTCTGGAACCTTGGCCCAACGAGCTGGTGTAAACCACGTGGACTTTACAAACAAACTGTCAGTAACGGAAGAAGAAATTTTCGAGTGGCTTCAAAGCCCTAAACTAAGTCGACCATATTTGTTTGGTCATCCGGACGCTGAAGTTGACACCATCTATGCCTTGTGGAACAAAACCTATTGGTACTACAAAAGGACAGGCTCTCGAAGATGAGGAAACCTGACATTTGTGTGCTCATTGTGATGTTATTTAAACAAAAAACCTGCTTGTGCTACAAAAGGACGGGTTCTCGAAGATTAGGAAATCTGACGTTTGTGTATTCATTTTGATGTTTAAACTAAGGGTGTGTTTTTTACCAGCGGGGTTACCGACACGAAGTTTTCCCAATACCAAATATTTCCCTTATTGTTTCTACTGGTATTGCTATCGGAATACCCGAGTAAAGGTCACGTACATTACAAAACCCAAACATCTCGTCATTTTCTGCTTTCATCATTTCACTTGTATCGTTGCTTGCAACTATTATTAAAGGTGGACGTTTAAAAGTTTCACACACGTACTATTCTGAACCTTTGCCCAAAATAGCACCTTTGATCTTCCATTTTAACGTTTAAATATCTGACCACAATTAAACTTACTTAGCTTTGTTACACTTGAAACTGTTCTATTTATTTTGAGGGTCTGTGGTGTACAAGGTGAAGTAGGGATACTAGACCATAGGGCGTATTTGAAATATTCGATATGTGTGTGGAAGTACGTACCTCGTGAAGTTTGTGTAGAGTAAAAAGTCAACTAAGAATATTTTGTTATTCCTAAATCTGTTTGGAGAGTCCAAGGAAAACAGTATCTCAAAATCAAATTTCCAGCTTGTATTCTGTCTTGGCGTGTATATATATACATGTGTGTGTAAGGATACATCCTTTGGCGCTACTTTTTCGTGATATTTACAGCTCTTCCCATTTGTTATCGCAGAATTACTGGTCTTAGAAATTAAAGAATATGTGAATAACTTTTAATTCTATATAGCTATGAATTAAGCGTTGATACTGTAATAGAATTTTTAGTTCCTGCTTTAAGCATCACGTTATTAATCAAGTTCCATACTACTAGTTGTCGCTTATAGTGTATGTTCCAGTTTAAATTGAACAATAAGGAATCATTATTGGTATTAGCTCTAATCCCAACGTACAACTTTCTCTTAGTTGTGTAGAATAAATTATGATTCTGAAGTCGAGAGACAATAAAATAAAACAAGAAAAATTTAAACTACTGAATAAAATAGACATCGAAGTGACTCATTGAAGATTATTAAACTGTAAATTTAAAAATAAAAGTTTAGTGGCGGTTTAAATTTTGAGTAAAAAGAAAATACATCAGATAATATTTAAATCTCGAAAGCTACTTCTTAGCTTACCACTGTGAACTACAGAACAGAAAGCTGTTATATATATATATATATATATATATATATATATATACATACACACACACACACACACACACACACACACACACACACACACACACACACGACG